AGACGACGCGAGAGACGTCGTCTCCGACGCCGTTGTCGGGGTAGCCGACATTTTGGATTATCTTCGCACCCAAAAGTATGTTTCGGTATGGGCACAATAAATGTAGTGGTCGGTTTTTGTGAGGTTCGTGAGTAGGGCGGTGTAAAGGGGTTAAAGATCGTCGTGGTCGGCGGCGATAGGAGGGTTCGAGGTGAGGTCGAGATAAAGTACCGGTCACAAGGACAATCGGGAGAACATTGCGTTGTCGTCGAAGATGGCGGTAGTCGAGAGAGGTCTAAGTAGGGGTCGTGTCGGCGAGGCCGTCGGCAAAGGCAACGTTGAGGTTCTTGAAGCCAGAGGGGTGTCCTCTTTTTGTCGCTGCCCCCAGTCTGTCTTTTGCGTCGAACAGAAGAAATAAAGATGGACAGGAACTAGAGGCACAGACGACAGTGAAGAGGGAGGCGCCAAGAAGGTCGCCAAATGGTTTGAGCAGAACAGCTGCGGCTCGTTGATTGGCTGGGTGGGTGCAGGGACAAAACCTGAACGGGGCCGCGACAGGGGTGGCTGCAGCTGCTTCAGTTGCTGCAGAGGCACAGAGGCAATCGACCGTGGCGGTAAGGTAGGGATAAAAATGCGTCGCTTGTGAGGCCTTGCAGTTGGTGACATCAGCGGCTTCATTGGCCCGTCGCGTCAAACGAAACAGACCCCTGCAACGCAGCGGGACAACAGTGGGGTCCCGCCACGGTTCGCCATCTCTGGCACTGCTACGGTGACCTCTGGCCCAATCATTTGTCGTCTCCCACGCTCTGTGGCTCTGGCTGGGCAGGGGTTGAGGGGATCATGGCCACGGACTGGATTTCTCCATCGACTGGGCTGGGCTGCTGTCTCTCTGTCGCTCCCGCCGTCTTTGGTGCGCGCGGCCTCTGGCCTCTCTCTGTGCACCACCGCTCTCACAACCCACCCTCGCGCCGCAGATGCAGAAATAGATCAGCGCGCGCTTCATCCTATCTAACCACAACAATCCAATTGACCGAACCAGCTTGTTTCCTTGATCCAAGACTATGGCACCCCAGAAAGAGACCCTGGCTTTGTTTGTGCTCGCAGATCGAATGAAACGCTCAGATCTTTAAGACGGATCAGCTGAAGGTCATTGTCGCCGGTTTACTTGCGTGTTGTTCTTGGGTTGACTTACGATCTTCCAAATACCTGTTCACACAGGAACCGGGTACGCTACGGTTACTCGGTAGCACCAGTTCCATTGGCGGTGGCGTCTGGCGTCTCAATGCTGGTCGCAAGCTTCGCTGGAACCAGGAGCACCTTGTACGCTTAAGGCGAAGCGTCAACGAACTCTCCCCACCCAGGCATGCTTACTGGACAACAATGCCTTGGTCGTGGCTAGGAGGCGAACATGCGTGGCTGTGCGACAAGCCGGGAGTGACTCGCCGACAAACTGGAGCACCAGACGACAGACGAGGTTGCGATCTCTCCCCAACCGACCGTTGCATTCCGCGGGAGGCGGGTTGTGCACTGCGTGGTTGCCTTGGCGTCTTCGGACAGCGAAGCTTTCGCCGAGATGACACTGCGCCTTAAACCGAGCATGGGAATTCATGGGCTAAGCCACATACTCGCGGGTACAGGCGTTGCGTCACTAACACCTTGAAGACGGCATCGTGAAGGTCTGACTTGGACAGTTCTTACGCGTATTGGCCCGCAAGAACTCGTTCCTTGGCAGAATACCCCGACAACACCAGTCACATGAGATGTCCCAATGAGGGAGCTGGGAATTGATACTGACCACCCCAAGCCTGATATTTACAATGGTGGCTACTGATCTAGCTTTCCTGCATACCACCCTCCGCCCGTCATCCATCAGCCGTCGACCAGTCCCGGCCCTTCTTCCCTTCAGCCTTCCAGCTGCCCGAGGATCCTACCCGACATGCGCCGCGGTCAGGCACATGCGCAGGGGAGTTAGGGGAGCCATCATCACGCTCCACATCGGCGCTGGAGCAAGGCAAATCGAAAGAGTCCCGGGATCGGGGCACCGTGCCGTTTTCTCGCGAATGACGACAACACTTCGGCCCTCCCTCCGCTCTGTCGCCGAACGCGGGCAGTTTCCCCAAACCTGGATGGCGACCCCCGTTCCCCAACAGACCACGATCCTGCTGTCAACCGCCAACACGGACACAATCGCCGCTGTCAGCCACGGCGCTAGCCAACCTGCATAACCAGATGCAGATATTATTCATCAGCAACAACGCTGTGCATGCCGACTTTTGACTCCGGAGGCTGGCTCCAACCGGTCCACTGCCAACACCATCGTCGCACATGATGAACTTCTTCAGCTGGTTAAACATTCAGCGCTGACCGCCCGATTTGGGGTTCGGCAATATCCAGAGAGTTCGCATTACCCCCACTACACCTTCGGCGCACCGGCAGTTGGTTCATCGGCCAATCCCACCCAACCAGCGGTTGTCGCATTCCCGTCTCTCGATCCCGAGCCCGTTACCAAATTTCAAAAAGGCAGAGAAGACATCGAACATCCCCTCATTGTCGCGAGCTTCCCCGCTTCTCCAGCCGATTATGGACCCCGAGCTTGCTCAGATCCCCCACATTCCCCATGTGAGGCTCCAGGACCGGCGGACTTCATAAACTGCCTCAAGGATAGCTATTGCGGAAAATCCGAGCGTCATTGTTCGATAATCATATCTACCTGTGCAGTCGCACTGAGCTTCTTTTCTTCTTCTGTACTCCAGAGCCACACTCCGATACGATTACAGACACGATTGCAGACACGATTGCAGACACGATGGCAGACCCGAAAGATTTGAAGATCGCCGTCATCGGCTCTGGTATGCATGCCTCCTCCCGCACTACCTCATGTCAACCTCGCGACTAACATGCGCTCAACGCAGGCATGGGCGGTTTGGGCGCTGCTCTCGCGCTCGCCAAAAAGGGGTTCAAGCATGTCGACGTCTACGAGACAGCCTCTACCCTCGGTTTCGTCGGCGCCGGTATCCAGATGCCCCCGAACGTCGTTCGAACCCTCGATCGCCTAGGCTGCTGGCCCGAGATCGAGAAGGAGGCTACGGACGTGAAGGGCTCAAGCATCAGACGTAACGAACAACTTGTCCAAGTGGTAGTCACGCAACTCGGCTAACGCAGGGAAACAGAGGGATCGACCAACGTCGAGCTCGCTCACGTCGACATGCCCAACATTCGCGAGCTCTATGGCTACCCGCACTGCAACGGACACCGTTCGTCCCTTGCTGGTCGCATGTACGATGCGTGCAAGAAGGAGTCCGCAATCACGTTCCACTTTGCGACCTCACTCGTGTCTGTCGACTCGTTCGACCCGAAGCCAAAGTTCACAGTGCAACCGCGCGACGGCGAAGCGTACTCGGTAGAAGCCGACGTGCTCCTCGCCTGCGATGGCATCAAGAGCATCGTCCGCACCGAACTCCTCGAGTCCATCGGCGAGAAGGGCGAGGAGGAGGACACGGGCCAGGCCGCCTACCGCATCATGCTCACCCGCGAGCAGATGGCCGACGACCCCGAACTCCTCGCCCTCCTCGACTCGGACGACGTCGTGCGCTGGATCGGCGAGAAGCGCCACATCATCGCCTACCCCGTCTCCTCCCACACCATCTACAACCTCTCCACCACCCAGCCCGACTCCAACTTCGCCGCCTCGACCAACGCAACCTACACAACAAAGGGCTCCAAGACGGCCATGCTCAACGTCTTCCACGACTTCTGCCCCCTGGTCCACCGCATGCTCAACCTCGTCCCGGACGGCCAGGTCTGCGAATGGCGTCTGCGCATGCACAAGCCCCTGCCCTCGTGGGTCCACACCGCCGGGCCCGTCGCCCTCCTCGGCGACGCCTGCCATCCGACGCTCCCCCACCTCAGCCAGGGCGCCGCCATGGCCATCGAAGACGGCTCTGTCGTCGCCGAGGTCCTCGCCCGCGCCCCGGACACCTCGCCCGCGACCCTCCGAAAGTGCCTCAAGGCCTACGAACTCTCCCGCCGGGACTGGTGCTCCCAGCTGGTCAACATGGCCTTCCTCTCCGGCAAGCAGCTGCATCTCGGCGAGGGCAAGGCCAAGGAGGAGCGCGACCGCATGTTCAAGGAGAAGAAGGGCGGCACCGTGCCGGATAAGTGGGCCTCCCCCGAGGTGCAGAAGATGATTTACTCCAACGACTGCGTGGCTAACATCGAGCGTGACTTTGATGAGCTGTACAAGAGTGTAGAGTAGTAGAAAGTTACCCCCCATTACCAATTTCAACGTTGCATCAACACACACACAATGCCTGCCTGTACGAGACACCCCATCATCCGTGCCTTGGAATTTTGGCTCCGGTGTTCTTGTGGCTTTCATCCGCGAGCCCCGGACCGGCTGCGGTGGCGTGCGCCAGGAATGACTCCGTCACACCTAGACCAAGCCACCCGAATTCCAGCTTGGAAGTTAAGAGAACTACTCGGCCCCGCACCAAGCTTGCCTTATCTACTCAAAACTCCGTTCACGACCTGGAGGAGCAGCTTGAGTAAAGTCGCAACGTGATGAAATTATATCGGAACCGGAAGACCGTCGTAACGACGTCTTCAGGACGACGCGACTTACGTACAATAGAATCCCAAAACCCTCCTAATTGATACCAATACTAAGAAGAAAAAAAAGGAAAACCCTGCAGTTGGAACGGAGAACCCAGGTAAATTGAGGTCGTCTCTCTCTGAAAAGCGCTCTCCATCCGACTCTCCGTAGCTGCGGTTTTCGTGTGCGTGATATCCCTTTCACCATTGACGCCGTGCGACGAAATGCATGTCCTAATGCAAACCAGTGCTGCTCACACTTTGCCCTATTGTCCCCAACCCGTAAATCGGTCTGCTGTCTTTTGCCAGAACTCAATGCCATGCCTTTGGCTCAGCTCGCAGCAAGTCTCTCCCTTTCTCTCAAGTTTGATCGCATCTGTTGGGTATCGATAACAAGTCGGTCGGTCGCAATCACGAATGGCACAGTGCGTTTAGAACAAGCAGTCGAGACAGCAACAGCAGGCAAGTGCACCGAGCAGACCAGCCATGATGCCGCTACCGCCGCCGCCGCCTCGGTTATCTTGGTAGTAGCCGCCCGGGGGGCCGTACTGCGCTTGAGGGCCGTAAGGACCTGGGGGGTATTGTCCCGGAGGATACTGTCCCGGGGGGTACTGGCCTGGCGGCGGGTAGGGGCCTTGCGGGTAGCCCATCTCGGGGCCGGGAGAGTAGTAGGGCTGCTGGCCGGGCGGGGGAGTGCCGTATCCTCCGGGGCCCTGGGGCGGAGGAGAGCCGTATCCTTGGTAGGCTTGCTGAGGATGTTGGGGAGGAGGGGGACCGCCGTACGCGGGGGGCTTATCGTGATCGGCCATTGTGGTAGTGTGGTGGGAGCGGTTTGGGAGATCCCAAATGGAGGGATTGAATTAGGTAGGTCGATGGTCGACGATCGTAGTCGAACGGTCGTCGATGAGGTTCAGCAAAGCTGGGGGATCGCGCAATACGATGCGATTAATGAATGCGATCGGGCCTCGGTCGAAGGCTGTTAAGGTAGGCAGTCTTGTGGATGAAGGACGGATGGTTGGACAGAGTTGTGTATGAAGGAAGAAGACAGGTACTGATGAATAATGAGTGGATAGAAAAAGGTGTGCCACCCGGGAGAACGTGGCAATGTTGGGGGAAGAAGATACGTGAAGAAGGGTGGCCTGCCTTTGGATGGGATGGGATGAAATGGGCGGATGGATTGGATGGGAAAGAGCCAAGCCGCGTGCGCGTGCGCGGCAGAACATCTGCGGCTTGCGAGCTTTCCCTGCTGCTTGCTGAGGGAGGGAGCCCAGGGCGGGCGAGGTTGCACCGTAGCAGCTGTAAACACTGGAACACCTGCAGCTGGGGAGGAGGTGAGGTGGGTAGAAAAGGTGGCCCCAAAGCCTAAATTTCGCTGTGCTCGTGACTCTAGCCTGAAATGGCTTATGCGACCAAGTCTCTGGGCGGCACGCCGCTGGTCTTGGTAGAGCTGTAGTGTCTTGTTGAGGCCGTGTTCGTTTGTAAGTATCTGTTATTGAACTTATTTTACCTCCCCTCGATCCATGAAGCGTTTGTTCACTTCCCAGAGTTCTCTGTGAACTGCATTTATCTCCATACGGAGGAGGCCGATTCCATCATCCAGTAAAACTACCTAATGAACAAAACAAAACAATCCAGCCCCCAAACTGTCCCTGTCTCACATGGTGCTTCGGGTTCCGGAAACCAACGACCAGCCCCAATGACATTTTTGTATCAAGGCTTCCCCCATTCGCCTGCACCGCAAGCCACCCCAGCTGATGTATCGCAGCATTCGCGTAAAAGCGGGTACCTCTCTCATTCCCCCGGTTGGTGCTTCTCAACCCCCTGCCAACCCTGTTCCTCCGTGTTCCCCGCTTCGCACCCGGCGTCTCCAGGACAGGTTGGAACAGGCGCCGGTTTCAGACCAGAGCTGACGCATAAGATGCCGGTTAGAAGGCGAGGAGAGACACAAGAAGCGGCTGTGACGGCAAAGATATGGGCCCCACCTCCGGCTCCGTTCAAGAGCTCTACGGCCGTCTCATGGAGCCCGTCTACGGATACGGCGGTACTCGTTCGGCCCATCAATGCGTTTGCTTGTGTTGAATGTGGCAGTGCTCCAACTTGGCTGGGCTGTTAGTGAATCATCGGCCAACAAGCGCAACGGCTAGCAGCCAGAATAGTGAGGTGCCCAAAAATCAGTCAGGTGAGATGCTGTCTCATGTTCCACGCGGCCAGCAACCGCCGCTGCGAATAAGCTGCTACCACACACCTCTAGCTATTCGTACTATTATCTTCTCGACACCGCTACTTTTTTTGTCGATATTATCGTCAATTGGACATTGCGACGTGAAAAAGAAAAAAAAACCGAGCGACTCGATGCATTAGACCCAAGTGAAACCAGCATTTAGGAGTATTGAAAGTCCCACACGGAGAAGGCCGGATAGCCTAGGAAGGTAGAAGAATAGTAAACCGTTCGACCATCAACTTCGACGGAGAAATTGGAGCTGGTTCTTGATAGATGAGGTCTGCTGCATCGGAGTCTGGCTCAGGGGGGAATCACCTTCAAAGGGTGAGAGGGAAAAGAAAAAAAAAGGAAAAAAAAAACCCCCAGCTCGCACACCAGCACGGTGGCACCTTCTCCGCAGACCCTTAAGCAAACGGGAATAACGCCCCTTTGAAAAGCGATGCATCCTTGTGCCCGCGCGCTATGATCTGCATACAAGCAGCACCTGCAGGATCCGACGCCGAGACCCTGATTGGATTTGGCCATGTGGTACGGCTTCATCCCAAGATATGATAGGCATGGGAAACTCAATGGAATTTGCCATTTCGCGGTCATTCAGTCGCAGGTATATTAGAGGTGGACACTTATCAGGCTGTGCATAACCACCCAGAGAGTACGTTTTTGTCGTTCGATACATATACGTTTCGACTGGCTATGTGTCTGATCAACATCTGCCAGGTAGGCACTAACCAGCTGTGATTTGAGCGGATTTCGTAGTCATGCGGGGAAAAACACGACCTGATGAGCAAAAGACAATTAAAGAGACAGAAGATTCAAAAAGCAAAACGTTCCGAAACCGAGAATCGAACTCGGGGCTATGCCTAACCTCTCAAGATTTTGAGAGGGCATCATGTTGGCCACTACACCATATCGGATGTTGATGACACTTCACGAAATATTTGCGTTTAAGACCCTTCCGCCCCGCGCCTCAGCCAACACGCTCACACAACCCCTTGAATACCAGAAATTCCCGCAAAATCACAATCACGATTGAATTCTGTACGATCTAATTCAAAGAAAATGATTCACTGCAATTACCACTGGCCCGATGGCCTCGACTGTCTCCTCCGCTTTTTTCCCTATGTAGAAGAACACAACCACGCGACCCCAATCAAGGGGCTATTACCCCAATCGCTTGTAATGCCGTCCATTGAAAACCTTGCATCGCTTCGCTACGCTATTCGATGAGAAATAGAAAACGCGAATCGCTATAGGAGGAATCCAAAGTCGTATCACTGGGTCGTTGATCCGAGGACCGGTAGTCCCCGTCTCTTCAACTCCTCGTTCACCTCCTGGACGTGTTCGAAAAAGTGGCCTTGCATCGAGTCCCAGAGGGACGCTGGAGGTACTGTTTGTCCGTTGTCAGCAGTTTGAACATGGTACATGCACACGTTGGTAATTTCTCTCACCCTCCAAGACGCCACTTCTTTCCAAGGCGAACTGTGTTATTGCGCAATGCGTGCTGATCTGGAACATGAATCCTGCATTGGCACGTTAGCCATGGACATCGGAGACGGACTGGCGCCGGACATACCGAGGAAGCCCTCGCCCACACGCAGAGGCTTTAACTCGCTTGTCGTAGCTTGCTCAAAGGCCTCGTGTGTTTCTGCTCTTCGAGTAAGTGGGTGAAGATCTGTATGAAGACCGCCGAGACTTACCACCGTGAGGCATGTAACTCGATTGAAAGCTTAGTCCGCCTGCTTCTAGGTTGCGACTCGTGCCCTTGTAATCGCCATACACAATTCCCACGACCTCGGTGGCCATGTTACGATGGTAGTACTGCGTCGAGTTAGTCGGAAGTCCCCAGAAGCGGTCGGGGGAAGGGTACCGGAGGCCGGAAGGTGTTGGTTGCTGATGAGTACTTGGGGCAGAAGAACATGAAGTCCGTCACCGACACTCCGGGGATCTTGGACTTGGCCGTCAAGACGGTGTACAAGCTGGGGTCGGCTTGGTCTTTGTCTGTATAAGCTGCAGTAACAAACTTTTCGGCGGCGTATTTGAACGGAACGTAACTGCCGACGGAGTCAAGAGCTATCCAAAAAGGAAAAGGGAAAAAAAGGGGTAATTAATCGATCAACATACTTGCCGTCCCACGCAACCACATCGAACGGTGTGTGGCTCTGTCTGCAAGACCACAACTTTCCAGATAACTTGTACACGACTGAGTTCTTGTCAGCCTATGCTGCGATGCAGTCAGGGGGTTTCCGACGTACTTTCCCACTCAGAGTTGTCCATGTCGAAAGAGGCGATGGGGAACTCGAAGTCTCGTGGCAAGGCCAAGCCGTTACTTCCAAAGGGGCCCAGTTCCGGGAGTTCGTAACGGCTTCCGAACAGCTCCTGGACGTCTACGACATTTAGTTGATCTTTGACCTGACACCTTTGAGGGATACTTACAGCCTCTGGCAGGTCCGTCTGGTAGTGTGACCTTGAAGCGAATGCCTGTTTGAACAACTGCCAACTCCCCTGGCCGCACCATCATCCTTGTGCAAAAGTCAGCGAGAGCCACACGTTTCCGGGGCCTGGGAGCAGTTTACCTCCCGAATTCCGTCTGAATGTCAAGTCTTCCAAGCTGAGGAACGATGAGCATATCCCCATCGTTGCTGCAAAATGCGCGATTTCCCATCGAGGCGTTTGCTGTGTAGACGTGCACAGCCTGGCCTTCCTTGTTCATGGGGTCCCCGTGCCCGACTATCGTCTTCAGCCCCTGAACAAAGTCCACGGATGGCCCGTCGACATCAGGAATCGGGAAAGCCCTCCAACACAGCGCACCGGGCATGAAATCAACATTTTCGTTGCCAGATGTGAATCTTGACTCGATCTTCACGGGCAAAAGAGTCAGGGGGCAACGGACTAGCGGCAAATTTGGAGGTATTACTCACATCCGGATTGCGCGGCATTTTCGTCAGGTTCCCGTGTGCCACGGAGGGAAAAATACGATAGAACCAGGCATGCTGCAGGTTATCTCGGGATGAGACAAAGGTTGAACCGTTCAGCTGCTCGGAATATAAGTTGTACTTGACTTTTTGCGGTGCATTACACGATTGTGGGAGAGTTCCAGGACTTCTCCCGTCAGCCTCCAAAACCCCCGAATGTCATTCTCACGAGCCCAACTTACATGGCTTCCGAGGCGAACCTGTTCCCAAATCCGACCTGATAGGTGTACGGATCCTTCGGAGTGGGTTCCGTCGAGAAAGGATGTCGGGCGGTCGCTCCGAAGGTTGAAGGTGGGTCGGAGACCTTCGGATACATCTGGGAGTTCTGAACAATGGCTCCCATAGTTGCTAGAAGGGCGGGGAAAGTAGTAAAGGAATGGCTAGACTTTGGTGTTCAAGTCTACGGTGAAGGGGATAAGATCGTGAAGAACAGATGCCATTTCGTGGGCGGATGGGCATGAAGATTGATAAATGTGTGTAGTTCCACTTCCTAAGTACGCCGTCTGTGGCGTCTGTTTCTGCTAAGATGGAACGAACAACCTGGACCGAGAGAAGGCCCTTGCATCCGATGACACTGAGCAGGCCAATTTACCAGCCTTCGGTTGCGCAGATACTGATCTTGGACATCCTGACAATAGGTGTACAGCGCAGCGGTACGTATCCGAGAGATTGGGCAAGGGAACGTATCGTCAAGTTGCCTGCCGGAGCGGCGCTGGGGTCCTGAGCATCTGGTCTGCCCCCCCTACTTCCCCCCACCGCGATGGGCGATTTGTTGCAACTCAAAGTGAACAAACCTATTCGGGTATTGGCCAGATCTCAGGATGTCACCGGAATGTCGAAACACTAGTGTAATGCCCTCTGGGAATGGGCAGATGTAAGCTTTGGCCAACGCTCGTCTTTTGCGCAGCCAAAAGGCGGCCTTAGTGGGAAATATCAGACCAAGCAAGCCCCGATCTCACGCACAGGCGTCGTTGATGACCGCTAGCTGGCCAGGGCTGACCGCTTGCTACGGGTTCGAGTTGAACACCATAAAGCGTCGGCCCTTTTCCGAGCCAGGATCCCGTGTTTGCCTTCGAACACCACTCTGCTTCGAAGACGCGGGATGTGTTGTGGATTTGGAAAGCTCGCCCGGCGATCTCGTCAGCCTGAGTCTGTAGGCCAGCGTGTATGTCTCAGACTGCTTCTCATGCTGCTTCTGAATATCCAACTTAGTCAGGCTCGTTATGTTGTGGATTCATCCCCAACGTTGTGTGCTCCGCCATGTGGATTTGCGGGCAAAAAGAGGCGCAGAACGGCAACAAGATTCAGTAGTAAGGGATGGGGTTTATCAGAAGTACGAAGGAACGGCCGGGTGGCAGGTGGTCACATCCCTGGAGAAAAAGAGGCGGTGATTGGGGGCCAACTGGCGCGCAAAGACGCCATCACCCGCGGCCGGCAATCGCTAGCTCCAGATGCGCAGAGATTTGTGTCCTCGGCAGTATGTGGTTGACAGATCTTTGTTTTGCGGCTTTCCGAACACTATGCCCAGCTGACAGACAGACAGACTTGCGTCGTGCCGGTGGTCGGGCAGAGTGGCGGCTTGGGCAACTGGTCTTCGTCGGCAGTCTCAGGAATGAGACACGACGGAGACTGCCTGGTCCCTCGGTGTGCTTCTGGCCGAAGCATTCGGTCGATCAGATGCAATCGGATATGAGGAATATGTCTCGGGACAAGTTGCTGTGCGTCTTCAGGTCAACTTCAGGATGCCTCGGATGCCCTAGGTCGCACCAGCCCCACGAGCAGTCTGCGACAGAGCGGTATTGGCTACTTTAGCACCAGGCGTGCTGCAGACAGAAGCCCCTGCAGATCGCCGCTGGCAAATCCCGCTGTCAGGTCGGCCTTTGGGGCTTATTTGGCATCGTATCTATCCTGATTAGCCTCTCTTATGGGTTGAACCTAACGGCTAGCATCGCCCATCGGAGTGTGCTGCTTGACGATATTAAAACTAGCCAAGGTGCTTCTTCCAGGCGCGCAAATACCCATTTTCACTGAAGATACGGACGCCTCCCAATGAACGTTGGCTTGCTCAAGTGCGGCCGCCCGGTAGAGGTTAACGACGGCGTAGTCTTGAAGCAAACCCGGTGTCTAGCTGCCCAGACCTCTGGACTGATAATAGACCAGAGGCATGGCTCCCGGAAATAGCTGGGCAGATGGCCTGATTTCTCGAGTAAGGATGTGCGCGGACACGGCCTCAAACCGAGTAAGGATGACCTCGCGGGCAGACCGTTTGACAGAGATTGGCATATGTGGACGCGGCCAAGGAGCGGGTAGCCCAGTAAGGTTTCTTAAGGTTTCCTCGCGAGTGCAACCAGGTAGAATCTCCCCACACAGGAGGAGAAAAGATGAGAAAAAGGTTGATAGTTGTGTGCGCCAGTGGCTTGGATGACCCGAATCTGGGTGTTGTAGGCACTTGTCGGAGGCCAGGGGGGATGGAAATTCGATGAAAGGGAGACCCGGAATTGCGACACCAGCTGATGGGAGGAACCAAGCGCGGGACAGGCAAGGCCAATCGGAAGAAGCAGTCAGGGAGGCGGAAGTTGGCGGGATTCGTACGAGGCCAAGATATTTTAGGACAGCAATATCCGCAGGTAAGTTATGGGAAGTCGAAAGTGAGGCGCCAATGAGGAAGTCGGAGATAAGGTTTCGGTCTGCGTGATGTGGTGCCCAGTTGGGTTCTGTTTCCTGCGCATGTAACTTGCTTGTTCTGCGGTGACTAGGTCGCGTTGCAACCACACGAAGTCGCTCTTCCAGCCCGCCCCAGTACCAGGGCGCAGGACATGCTGGGTCCAGCTGCAAGATGCACCTCAGTCGAGAACACAGAGTGACAGCAGCAGCCTCTCAGAGCCCAGTCCAGTCTCGTAACAAGGACAGGCCAAGGCCAGACCAGGCATCGATCGTGAGCATGCGCCAGCCATCACGGGCGTATTTCGTTTGGTAAAAGTGACGAATCGAATGAAGAATAATAGCGACCAAAAAGCGTGACCGGGGAGTTTCAGCGAGAGACCGGCGGAATAGTCCCGAAATGGGATTTCCGCTGCTGCAGGTGTGGTGGACATAAGACATGGAAAGCAAAGCAATTAGCAAAGCCAGCAAGTACTTGAGGCAGGAGAAAAAAAGGCAAAATGGGAAAAGTCTCTGCCTTCGGGGATTGGGGGTGGAATGGTAAGGTAGGTAGGCAGTATGGCGGCGTCTCTTACCTTTCAGACCAATCCAACGCGCGCTTGTTGTCAGACGCAAAGAGACACAGATCAGGAACCAGCATCGTGAGTACTGCGTAGCAGTGTGCCTACACTTTGGAAGGCATAGATAGATCCTGGTCCATGGCCACGAGCGCGGCCGCCCTAAGGGATTCCCTCCCGCAGCGGGTGAAGAGGGGGGTGGTCAGTGCAATTAGAGGTGCCGTGTATGCGGATTTGCCTGCCCGGAGCGACAAAGACTCGCATGCGACGTACCAAGTCTTACAACCCCACTGCAACTTGGGCTTGGGGGTCGATGAGGGGCACCAAGGCAGTAGCAGGCTAACAGTAGTCGGGCAAAAAAAGTATGTCCCAAGTACGCTTGCTGCGGTGGTGTAAGTAAGGTGTCGACATGAAAGTTAAAGCCAGGGCAGGGGATGGGGAGGGGGCAAGAGCCTGGGCAGGCCAAGGCCAGGCCATGGCAGGGCAGGGCGATGAACGAGGTCATCGGAAAAGGCAAACAGGACGTCAACCTCATGTCGGTGAGAGGCTAAAGTCTAAAAGGGCGCTTGAGATGGCGGATTAGGACGAGGAATGCCACCAAGTGCCACTTGACACCTTTTTTTCTCTTGCATTTCCAGCATCTGAAGCAACCGTTAAGCGAGCGATGTGAGCACTTAGACGACGACGGACCCGACGTTCAGTTGGCGATCGGCTAATATGTAGCACGTAGGCCCGCCCTGGGTACGTTGCCTTGCTTGTGCTTTTTTAGTCTGTGACCTTCCATGTAAGTTGGCAACAACCAACTTAAGTGATGGCCACGGCTGACTGACTCTCAACTAAAAGGACGGGGGAGGGAAAGGCAAAGCAAGACGAAGCAGTAGGGGAAACAATTGGAGACGACAAGCAGGGGCAAAAATAAAAAACCAAAGGGGAAGAAAGAAAAAGGCAAAAGGGCGCACGCATCGACATTGACCCAACCTGCCATGCAGACCAGAGCAGACCAGACCACACAGCAGCAGTTAGTCACATCATCCACGTCCTCAGTCATGTCCAGTTCCAAGGTCCCCTAATGCACCAAATATCCGACCTTCAGCTGCCATTGTCCAACCCGGTGGCAGTTCTCAGTGTCCACTTTGCATCGTCAGCGGGGCCGCCGCCCGCCGCTCTCCACCAGACTGGCCGCTCTCACTGGAATGGGAAGGAAGCAACGGTTTTTGAGGCGAGAGCGACGGGCAGTTGGGAAGGGTCTCTCGTCCAATCGTGACTGCTTCCTGCCTCTCACCCTCATCCTCACTTGCACTTGCACTTGTACCTGCCCATCCCCTTCACCATCTCCATCTCCATCTGCAACTGCAACTACCCTCCATCGCACTTGCACTTGCACTTGCACTTGCATTTGGCCTTGCACTTGCCTGCAGTCGCCTTAGGCATTGCTCTGATCGTCCGGATCCGCGTCTCGTCCTTGCCCTACACCATCCATCCGTCCATCCATCCTCCTCCATCTCGCACACAATCGCTGCTTCACGACCCTCGTCAGGAAGCAAGGGGGACGGAGCAGAGAAAAAAAAAAAAAAAAAAAACAAAAAAAAAAACACCATCTGACACAAGACGTTGCGGACCTTCTGAGTCAATCGCCGAGCCTCTGCCGCCACTTGAACTGCAGATTGAGTACCAATCGGTGGAAGAAGTCGAAGCAAACACCGAGCCCATTTCGACAGTCATCCTCCTTAGACCACGTACCTCTGGACTTGGCGTCTGCGTTTCGTTTGACTATTCCACGTCCCGGTCACGCCCTGGTCCAACGTCGTTACAACAAGGTCTATCACCGCGGACACTTCTCCGCTCTCCAACTTTGGACGTGCCCTCCCTCCATCCGAATCACATCAAAGGACGCGCCCACAACTTGCAGATCCCAAAGCTACCTACCGTAGTCAGCACCAGGGCGTCGACGTCTGTCTCCTGACTTCAATCTTCACCCTGATCCTGTTTGGTGCGCCTACTGCTTCCGGCTTGTCGGTACACATCCATCACCGCGGCTGTTACGACATCTCGCCCGGCCTTGTTTCTGGCTGGTCATCTGAAAAACCTCACCGCAACATCCTTGGACACTGCCTCCTCCAGGGCGGGCCAGATCCGTCCTCTTCCGACCATCCGTCCTCCGTCAACTCCGCACTCTGTCTCGTGCCCTGCCATCCTACCTGGCGAGAGCTTTTCCCCGGCAGGCACATAAACTTCGAGTCATCCGAAGCCATCCTGGTGCTTCTTTGGGAATAGTCATAGATACTCGAGGGGAAGGATTCACCCGCGGGTTATAGGCTTCCGGGAGCTTTGCTCAACTTCGTCCGGACCACTAACTCCAGCGGCTCATTCGCCCACAACTCCTGGGAAAGAAACCGTTGCCAAGTCACGACATCGCAACAGCAGACCATCCCGCACCTAGACAGGTGGAACGCCATTAATTCATCTGCTGTGTTGTCTACCTGCCCTCTGATAGGTAGGCTGACGCGGTGTCTATTGGCAGTCTGAACAGGGACGCCAGTCTGGACTTTCAGACGACTAGGGCCACCTGGTCAGTACACGAATAGCCACAGTTTCTGCTCTTGCGCTACGCAGGGAGCTGCCAAATTGCACAAATTTGTACAACGGCTTCTTCTGGGACCACCACTCAACTTCTTTGGACGGCGGAAAAGGCCGCAGCAATAGACATGGCAGAAACCCTACACATTCCCGACGCCGACGCCGCCTGGCTCGCGCCGCATCTACCTTCCGGGTCTGGTTCTGCTGTCCAGTCAGTCAAAACTCAGAATCGCCCTTTTGTTACCCTTACCTTTGCAACCTCATTGGACTCATCCCTCTCTCTCGCTCCCGGCGTGCGAACACGCCTCTCGGGTCCCGAGTCCAAGGCGATGACCCACCATCTGCGTCGTCACCATGCCGCTATACTCGTTGGTGTTGGGACAGTCATCGCCGACGATCCGGGCCTGAACTGTCGTATGGATGGTGCAGATCTTGATGCCCAGCCGAGGCCCGTTGTTCTAGACCCTCGCGGCCGTTGGAACTTCACAGAGCACAGCAAAGTGTTCGAATTTGCCCGCGCAGGCAAGGGACTGGCGCCGTACATACTCGTCGGGGAACCGGGTATCAACCCCGAGAGGCAAGCCATCTTGGAGGCCCATGGCGGAAAATTCATTCTCCTCAGATCTCGAGAAACCGAGCCAAGATTCGACTGGCCATCTATCCTGGCTGCCCTCCATGCCGAGAACTTGCACAGCGTAATGATCGAGGGCGGGGCACAAGTCATCAATTCCCTCCTCCATCCTGACTACCAGCAACTTGTAGACACCGTCATTGTGACTGTGGCACCTACTTGGCTCGGCCGTGGCGGCGTCGTCGTGTCCCCCGACCGAGTTCAGCGTTCCGATGGAACTCCAGTGCCCGCCGCTCGACTCAACGGCGTGGCGTGGCATCAGTTCGGGGAAGACATGGTCTTATGCGGACAACTAAGCCATGACGCCTAGGTAACAAGCCTGGCAGCTGTTTGTTCCCATCCCAAAGCCTTCGGCTAACGTTTCGCAGCCTCAAAGACCGGCCGCCCTGCACAGTCCTGGAGCCGTGAGCAAGCTTCTGGGACTGGGGAGGGAATTGAGCTTCGTAGTCACCATGGAGCAGGCCGCCGAAGCAAACCCCGCCTGAACGCCCAAGAAATGGTATCATTTTGATAACTGTCGAATCTCTTCTATCGTGCCAGGGTCCTGCAATCCGAATTATGCCACTGCTTCCTCGAACCATCATTAAGAAAGTCGGTCTGCCATACCTCGCCTGGCTGGGTGTATCCTACCCTGGGCCCCCGTTCCAGCACCATGTCCAACCAATTCAAACCCGACCCTGCAACTTGATTTCCAGCCACCTCAGGGGAGCATAAAATATGGCTGTCAACACCAACGCGACTTCGAACCCAATATCCCCAGTCGTCTTCGCAATCGGCCCTGTGAACCACGCTTGGTCCATTCCTGGTATCACCAACCCGAAGCTCAATAGACTCGCTCCGATCGCAGCAAACCCAGAAGGCAGCTTGCGAGCGACATTCCATGCGCCATGGTCATAGGAGTCGTATTTCATGCGTCGAAAGATGACCAACTCTTCGATTATGACGGCGTCGAAACAGCCCGCCCAATATCCGATCAATCCCAAAAAGTTCTCGAGCGAGTCGGCCCATGCTTCAGCAGCACGAATAGCCATGGGTATCATGATACCCAGGGCGACAATGATAAACACGACGCGTGGTACCTTGGTGAAGACTGGCAGCATCATCTGCATGCATAGCGCAACTGAGTACATGGAAGTCGCGATGTTGCCGATGACAGTCAGGGCGAGGACCACAAGCAGAAACTTCCCGAAACCGCCAGCAGGCGCCAGCATTGCAGCCATGACGCCACCGATGCCGTAGGAATCCCATCCTGCCTTCCACTCCGGGACGTTATTGAGCGCACCACCAATTGCCGCACCCAAGATGAGAAGGGGTACCGAGGGAGAAAAGATCCCCAGGTAAATGTAGGAAAATATCCGGAATCTTGATCTTGTTAGTACATCGACTAACCTTTAGATCTCAGAACTCACTTGGTTGTCTTGTTCGGGTTATGGTATGCCGTGAAGTCCGAGGCAATCCCACCGAATGTGATGAAGTAACCGGCCATCAGACCCCCGTAGTTGAGAATTTGCGACGCGGTTGCAGATGGCACCTCAGCCTGTTTCCACAGATTCTTCCCTCCCAGTCCTACCGCGATGACGATGGCTATGAGACTTGGTAGCCACTGCCATCTCTCCCACATGTGGAGAGCTCGGTATCCGATGAAAGAGGCAGCGAAGCTGACGAGGCACGTGATAACGATTCCAACCTTGACATCAATGTGACCCGGGTTCACAGCTGCGAGGGTTTGTCCTCCAGCAATCGCAGAGGACAGAGAAAACCCAGTCACCGTTGCAGCGTTCAGAAGAAGGGGGACACCGACAAGGTAATATCTTGATTTCCCACGATCAGTTTAGTGTCAGGTGTGCACAGGATATACCGACTCACCCAAACGAATATCTGGCCTGCACAAGTTGTCTCAATCCAGTATAGGAGCCTGCGATACCCATAAACGCCGGAGGCATGATCGTCAAGGCCGCGAAGAAAATGATTACCAGCGACGCATCTCTGAGGCTGAGGCCCAGCTGGGCGGTGGCCAGCGCTCCGGTGGGAATCCTATCGATCATCTGTCAGCAGTCTCTCCTCCGATTTTGTCGGTGACACAGTGCAAAACTCACGGAAGCAAGCAAAGCAAGCTAGAGAAGAAGACAGTGAAGAGGTTGCTATAGTTCTCATTGGTTCGCTCTTCGATGGGTACAGGTCGAATACCATTCTCCTCCACACCGGCGTCGAGAAGCCGTTGAAACCACTTTGGATTTTGGCGGCTGCCCTTCTGATGAACCTCGCCGTCCTGGACGGCCATCAGCTCGGTAATGCCACCATTGGCCTTGGAAACCGGAGACTGGTTCTCCATGTCGTATGCCTCAGCCTTCTCCTTCTGCGATAAGGATGTGCGGGAGGACATGGCAGCGGATGTTCCGAGACAAACGGTGAGGGGTGCCGAATCGCTGTTGTCTGCGCGCGATTTTGTTGCTCTTCTGTCATTCAATCTCCAGAACTGCTGTTTGGCGACGAGCGGGCTGCGTTCTTCGTTTTGGACCACGCGCTGCAGTACGCCACTTTCGGAGTTGGGGGAAGAGGCGGGCAGTCAGCGGTCGGCGGCAACTCAGGACAGATACGCAAGACTGGATCGGCGGAAGATAACATGTAAGGGTGACGTGCTTCCAAGACCCCAAACTTGGAAAGGCAAGTGGCCCGCTGGTCGAAACTTCCTCTCCAGGACCGACTGCAACTGCCTCAGCGGTGGATCGTACCTCCCAAACGTTTGCTTGGACAAATTCCCGCTGGCATCGACTGGAAGTTCACCTGGAGACACGGCCGAAGGGGGGAGTTTCCGTGTGTGCGAATGGAAAAGGGATCGACGACCGGCGGAATCGGCCCGGGCAGCCCAGTATATCTGAAGGAATTCGATGCTTGGGCGGACTCGGTTGGGGGCAGCGTGATGAGCTGACAGCTGTTGGATGAGTGCCACGTCTGGATGAAACCAAGAATATGCGCGGAGCAGTCGAGATAGATGGGACGATGGGGAACAGGTCGACAAACCTGTCTCGTCGACCAGGACGGATTGTGCAATACGAAGAGAGGCAATTGTCGTTCAGATTGACGACAATATTTAACGTTGGGATTACGACTCGCCCGTATGCAAGCTCACGTCTTCCGAAACGGCTCGAGTCATCGTTATGCCTACAAAAACGTCGAAGGTCGTTCCTTGATATGACGATCCCAACCCCCGCAGCCACGGTTCGAGAACACCGTTTCGCCCCAAAGGTTAAGCGTACGGAAAGGTCTACCGGGACAAGGGGGTTGGATGGGGCGGCATGGATGTGGAAATATTGACAGGCGAGGGGGGGGAAGGAAGCCGCAGGCTGCTGACGTTCCTGCGATATACCGATGCCAATACTCCACGTCCACTATATCTCATTTCCACAATTGCAGTTTCCACAATCCACGACTTTTTTTCGTCAACTCATCCCAAGCATCCCAAGTGGGGGTTTGTTCGTCAAGCGCGAAACAGGAAAGGGGGATGAGAGGGGAAAGACCAGAGCTGCTGCTGATGAGGGGTAGCAGTGTACGGCGTGTATCAGACGGCGGACGGGCACAAAGCAGAAGTCCTGCTCGAATTGAGCGAGAGTTAAGCACTTCAGAGAATGAAGAGCAAGAAGCCAAGACCGAGTATCAGATGGAATTTTGGGGGATCATTTGGGGGAGACAGATCTTCTTCACACACGCACACACAATATTGAGTAGCACTGCACCAGAAACACATCCAAGCTCCTCCCGACCCCTCCCTCCCTTCTCACCTGTAAGCTTCTAGCATGTGTTGGAGTGATGCAAGGTTCGCCGCTTTTGGAGGCAAGCAACCCTGGGAACCCTAGGCAGACGAGGGGGGGAACCCGCCTGGCACGACGATCGACGAAGAGTCCGCAAACGCCGGTGTCGAATCTTGGACTGATTCTTCTTACCGTTCGTTAGCTGCCGGGCCGGGCTTTCTTCAGCCTGGGTATTCTTCCACCGCCATCGCTACCTGAAAGTGTGTGCGTCGTCTTGCGCACTAGCCGTTGAGACTGGCGCAACCTGTCGTTGCGCGACATCCCAAAACCTGGAGAGTCTTCTGGAACTGTTCTCCCGTCGTCCCCTTTTTTTTTGTGTCGTCGTTTCCTGCGGTGCACCCCGTCACGAGTTGCCTTCCTTTGCTGCCCTCGAGTCGGTTTGTCTCAATTGCACGTGGCCGGGTATCTGCGTCATGTCTCGACAGGGTCCGGAGCTGTCAAAGTTTTCGGCTTGGTAATTGCTTCATTACTACCTACAGCTACCTGCTACACTCCCACAGGGCACATGCGGAGAAAAAAGCTATAGCGGATTCTGCTGCTGCCCCTGCCGCCGCCGCCGCCCCCGGCCGCCTCCGTCGGCCCTACTACACTGCAATTCTTCTGCTGCTGCGGCTGCTTCTTGCTTTAAAATGGACTCTCGAGTCTCCGGGAAGTCCGTCCAACTGATAAGAAAGGGAAGCGCCGGGGCCAGCACCCGGTCCTGAGCAGAATAACTCGGGTTGCGGGTTCCTTCGGTGGCCGTGGGGAGCCAGCCCAAGCCTGGGAAAAAGGGCCAAGCTGAGCCGGAGCTGAACTTTGTGGTGCTGGTTGAAGTTACCTGCGTTGCGGTGAAGGACCGTCGGTGTGATTCTTAATTCTGAATCACCTCCGCCGTTTCCCACGAGACACAGGAACTCACACACAGATAAATAGAAGTCCTATATCGGCGATGTGACCGCGCAAAGTTGAGCGGTGTTGTCATGAATCTTTAGCTGCTTCTCTACCGTCGTTCTTGGCTTCTAGTTTGTTATGCAAGCCGCAGTCAGAGGTCCCTTTTTAGGGGAACCAACCGAAAAACCGGCTCCTGCTCTATGGAATTGGGAGGGCGGATGGCGGCCAACGTTGCGCCCCCAACTCCAGCCCCCAATGAAGAGCCAAAGGGGCTTGATCCTAGTTCCAAATGGCGTGGCTCATGACTCTTTTTTTATTGAGGCGGTGGTCCCACGCGGTGTTCCTTCCATCGCGGCTTCTAGACGGCCTAGAAGACCCGGCGTCTTTGGCGCTGTTACAAATTTCCCAGATCTCAGCCGTCACACAACGATCCAAGATCTCACCCCATGCACGAGATGCTGCCCTCCTGGGCCAGTTCATCCCACGAGTCGTAACCCTGTCGTTAGAGCGAGCGGCTCAGCTTACCCCCCGGAACTAGCATCGCGACCACCGATAGGGCGCCGGAATCCAAGAAGGAAGGACGACTCTCTGGCTCTGGCGTCGCCGGCGTTGACGATCAACCATAATGTTTCGATATATGCCGCGGAAGCCACTCCGCTAGCGCAGCTGCCCTTGCTCTCCCTGCTCACGCTTTGCTACGGCCGCAAATCTGTCATGACGGCTCATGCACTCTCCTTCCCCCGTCTGCTGCCACGTTTTTCTCCCTCACTCATGGATGGCGACAGCGCTTAAGGGAGGGTGACATGGCTCATGCGATGACCTGACACTGGACGAATAAGATGGATGGCTTTGACCGTTCGTGTGCATGACTCTCAACGACGCCCGTTGATTTTCCCTTTCTCCAACGGCCTGAAAACGAGGGCATAGGGCATAGGGCACAGGATAAGAGCAGCAAGTGAAGAAGTAAGAAAACCCATGAGACGTAGAGACAACAAACGTCATGCAAGAAGAGATTGACATGGGGCGGCCCAAACGTGGGCTATCTCAAGTCGATGGCCAAGCGGGAACCCCTCCTTTAGCCAGGGAGCTTTTCCATCGGGTCCTGTTCGAATGCAAATCCAGACCGTCGATTCGAAGCCATCTTTGGTCTGGATGCAGGCTTGGTATGGCTGCAGCTCCGGCTAAGAAATGCAGCTCAGGATTTATCGACAGCCAACCGGCGAAGTTCGGCAAGTTCTTGTGGCAACAACGGTTCCATTATTCCAGGACTGCTGAGCCGGAAAAACGGTGGAGATCCCTACGTTCGTATTACATGTTGATGTGGACGGTACTTCCTTGGAATTGTCTTTGAAAATGCAACGTTGGTATTGCTTGGTTGTCAAAGGGACATCCGGAATCATCCTCCCTCATGTCTCGGTCTCGGCCAGTAGAACAGCCGTCTTTATTCAGGTTTCTTCCTCGAGAGCCTGAAGCTGACTTGGCTGTCGCAAGGGACCTTCTCTTCAGTGAGAGAACGTAACCCGAGCATCCAGGTCCCCCCTCGATGCAGGCCGCGCACGGTTTCATCAACCGGAAGCCTAAAAGCTTAGTACACCAGCTCCAAGAGGCTAGACCGCCTCACTTTGTTGGTTGCTAAGCTCTTCAAGAAGAGACGGACTGTCGCAGCAAGTCTGCTGCTTTCTCATTGCGTGGCGTTATTGAGCATTCAAAGTGCTCTGGGTGGCTTAATTTGACATCAGATCAGCGGATTCCCCTGAAGAATATGGGTCTTGGCACTCACCAGGTACCGCCATTAGTGAATACCACTTCTGGCTCGATAACTTGGCCGTCTCGCCCGACCTTCTTGCCAATGTTAAGAGTAGCTAGCATCGTGGCCGCAGCTATCCAGACGCTATTATCTGCCAGAAAGCGGCCAACACAAACTCGACGACCGAAGCCAAATTGCCCAAGGGGCAAGGGCTCACCATGGCCGCCAGCAGAGGGCGGCTTGTATCGGTTTGGATTAAAAGACTTGGGGTCCCGGTATATCCTCTCGTCTTGAGTCATGGCGCGGGAGTTTGCGAAAACAATGGACCTGGGGAAAGCAGTTGGCATTTTCATTCTAGAAGCATGCAGCTTCCTTTCGGGCCGCGAAGGGTGGTGGTGGTGAAGAGGGGCAGAGAACCTACCCCTTAGGGATGAACATGCCGTTGTAGACATCGTTTTCAAGGGACTTGTGGGGAATCCCTAACGGTGCCAACGGAGACCATCTGTGTTTCTTCTTCAGCAACCATCCCACGTGCTCCTGAGTCGAACTGGTCTGACATACCTGTACACCTCCTGGACAATGTGGTCAATGTATTGGAGGGATGGTCTGTCGGATAAGGTCGGAAGTCTCTCCTGCCCGACGACCCGGTCGATTAATGCCTGAGCTTTCTGCTGAATCTCGGGATGGAGGACCATGTTCAGGACGAAGACAACAATGGTGGCCCAGGTCTGAAGCTCATGTCAGCGTTGCGTCTTACTCGGTCTGAGTATCATCGTCGGTGCGCTCAGTTACCGTGTCTGCCCCTGCGATGAAGATGGCGCCCGCTGCCCCCTTGATATCGTCAAGTGACCACTCGTTTTTCAGACCGTTCTTGGCGTTGGAATTATACGTTTCCAACAACGTGTGCGCAAAGGACGGGTTCTCCTTGCCTCGAGCCTTGACTTGTCAGCGCTTTGCGGGCGTCGACGTGACAAGCCGAAAGACACACTTACCACCTCGTCTTGAGCAATAGCGAATGGAACGTTGTGCAATTTCTGGATAGCCCAGCCCCATTCTCGCGCAAATTTCAGCGACCAGTCTCTGGCCAACCAGTTGGGTAGATGGCGAGCTGCGGCGAGCATTACTGTCAGTGCTGGGTTTGGGAATATCCAGAATCCGAGACGTACCAGGGGGGAAAACATCTACGATGCTGTTGGCGGGTGCACCGCCGTTGCCAGTTGCGTACATGGCATCGTCGGCGATCTTTACATACGGGTCATTGTCATCTGGGACATCAACTCCGTAACTTACTTTGAGGACAATGGCGACGGCGAACCTGGTAAATGTCAGCTGACGGCGTTAAGGGTTCAGGGCCGTTTGGGCGCTGCCACCGCTTACCTCTTCATGGAAACCTCCCAGTTGTCTGGGTCCTTTATGATGCTGTGGACGGACTTACGGGCCTCTGTGACCTGCAGTTGGTACCACTGCCGCACGTTTGTGTTACTGAAAGTGGTCTGCAGCAGCTTGCGGTGCATCTGCCAGCGGGGCCCGAAGGGGAGGAAGGTCAGCGTCTTCCCCCAGCCCATGCTGGCAAGCGGGTAATTTGCTTCAGCATGACGACAGGACACGTCCGGACGGAGTTCGGGGTAACTTACACCTCAAAGAGGGTGAATCGGGGCCTGTCGCAGTAGTTGGCCCCCCTCCGGTCGAGAAGATCCCTGGCAGCGTCGACGCTGTTGAGCACAATGATGGGCTGCCCGAGGGATTTGACATAGATGACATCTGACTCTGAAGATGTGTCAGTAATACAGAAGCCTTGGTGACGGCGCCGGAGGGATGATACTGACTGTACTTCTTGGCCCATTCGGCATACGTCTCGGCGGTTCTCTCTTTGGGAATAACACGCAGATGACCAAGGAGAAATTCACCCGGCGGGCCAGGGGGTAGGGGCGGGTAGCCCCATGAGGATGACCGCGGCCTGACGAGATAAAGGAAGAGGACAACGGCCAGACAGGCGGCGGTCGTCGTCCAGGCCGAGCTGTTTCGATCGATGTCCATCGTCTCACGGATGTTTATGTAAGAGAGAAATAGTGTGCGGTTGCAGTCGAAGTCGGGGGTCGAGATGCAATTCCGGAAAGGACTTAAGATTCGGAACTTGTAAGAGCATAGGCCGGCTTAGTGGAGGAAGATTACGAAGAAAGAAAAGAGGTCATGATGGATAAAGATAACCCGGCGCTAAGAGAATGGAAAGCACGAAGGGGAGACTGGTCTGAGTTGTCAACGAGTAGGAGGCAGGAGGCTCAAGCAGGACACGGCCCTTCCCTTCTTCGTCGGCCGGTGCATGACGGCGCAGTACGGCAAGGCAAGTGAGGCAGGTAAGGTAAGAAGGACGGGAATGTACCTTCCTCAGCGGAAAAGAGCGTTGGGCACCTCTGCTTGGGTAACGTAGGTCAGGTCTACTGTGCAGCTCTTGCATCTCCGGTAGTCTTTCTCCAGGGCCTTTTCTTCTGCCTTCAAAATATTTTCTGCTCCCCTCCACTAGAGCATTTCACCAAGTCATTCATCCCAACTAAAATCCAACTCCCGTGGAGCCTTACGCACACATAACCTCACACACCAACAAGGACCCCGACCCATAGCTGCTAACACCCCGATGCAGCGTGGCGTGGCGTGGCATGGCAGGGCAGGATAGGGCGGCGTCGACAGCAGCAGTGGCAGAAGCAAGAGCAGCAAAAGCAGCGGCGAAGAGGCAACAAGAAACCGAGTCTAAGTCGCATGCCGTCTGCACGCCCAAAGTCTAAACGGTCGTGGTGTCGTTCATTTCCACGTGTTGGCCGAAACGAAACATGGAAACGGTCGGTTGTCCCCGGCTACCGGGCCGGTAGCGGCAGGAAAATCGAGTCCGTCGCGCTGGGTTGAGATGTACGAACGGCTGCACTCGCAAGAAGCAACTTGTCAACCCTTTCAGACTCGAACAAGACAGAAGGATATCTGGAGGGTCTGCTCCAAGGTCTGGACCCTCAAGTCTATCTCAGATCCATCCCGTCTGGGCAGATGGACGGCACTGGATGGGGGGGAGGCAAAGAGACCAGGCCAGACCCTTTCGACGTCAGCACGTCAGGTCCCGTGCCGTCGAGTGCAACACCCGATCGGATTCAACCATGGACGGTAAGGGGGTCGGATGCGCTTACAGTAACCTTCAGGGTGGGCTCCGTTCTTCGGCTCGGCTCTTTAGCAGGACAGGGCCCCTTAAACTCGAGGTAAAAGTATGGACCTAGCCCTCGCGGGCAGTGGTTGATGTCCAAGCTAATGACGCTTACTTGGTGTTTGCAGTCTTGCATTGCAGTCCGATGCTTCAAAACATTGAAACCGAGCGATCAAGAACCAACAGGAAGGCCTTTCCTATCTACGATCTAACTAAGCCAGCCCCCTGTCCTTCTCCCCCTCCTAAGATGGCGATTTTTTCCATGCCAACACCACAACACGAAATAAAGCGGTGGATCCCTCCTTTCCCTGCTTTGGCGTTCGAATTCTTCACAGCGTTTTTATTCTCTGTGGATATTCTAGACGTTCTACAGCAGCGCTAAAGTCGCCCTAAGCTGCAGGGCGTCCCAGCCCCGAGGACCATTCGCCAATCCTTCAGGGGAGGCCCACCCAACATGCCCCTCACCCTCCACCCACGGTGCCATCTTCCAACTGTGAACCTGGCACCCATCAGCCAGCTGCCCCGCCAAGTGCATCATCATCCCACCCTCCCTCTCGGCGGGGTCCCTCACCGCACTGCACTGCAGTGTTCTCCATGCTCTGTCGGCTGGGAAAACTTCGAAATCCTCTGCTCCTGCTTTCTGCCCCTCATTATTGGATCACGCCGCCTACCGTTATCTGTCACTCCCGCAGTTATCCGAGCTGCACTATCGCTCGGAACCACGATTGTCTTTACTGCGCCGAAAGAGCCGACTGACGACGAGACGTGTCTAATAAAGAACCTGTCAAGTCCTTCGTCCCAACGATTACACCTGAAGAGAAGGAAAACGGCGCGCATACAAATCACCACCTGCGTCGACACTCACGCGCCTCACTACCCAAAATGGCTCCTCAAATCACCGTCCTCGGCTCCCTCAACATCGACCTGACGTCTTACGTCCCCCACCACCCCCTGCCAGGCGAGACCCTCACGTCGAACTCGGTCGTCATCTCCCCCGGTGGCAAGGGCGCAAACCAAGCCGTCGCCTGTGCGAAGCTCTCCCGGTCCCGTGAGTCTCCGAACGATGCCGCCTCCGAATCCGCCTCCGTCTCCATGATCGGCGCCGTCGGCTCCGACTCGTACGGCTCTCTCCTCCTGAAGCACCTCGGCGAGTACGGCGTCCGCACCGACCGCATCACTGTCGGCGACGACCTCAAGACCGGCATGGCCATCATCGTCGTTGACGAGCCCACCGGACAGAACCGCATCATCCTCGCCCCGGAAGCAAACTACGCCGTCACCGCCGACAAGTTCGGCTCCCTCCCCCAGACCCTCGAGCCCAAGCCCGACCTGCTAGTCATGCAGCTCGAGGTTCCCCTCGATACCGTCCTGACCGCCCTGCGCTCCGCAAAGGCCGCCTCCGTACCCGTCCTCCTGAACCCCGCCCCCGCCCAGCGCCTCCCCGAGGAGGCCTACGACGGACTCGCCCACCTCGTCGTCAACGAGACCGAGGCCGCCATCCTCTCCGGCTGCCAGGAGTCCGATCTCGACACCCCTGAGGGCCTGAAGCGCGTTGGCGAGTGGTTCATCGCCAAGAAGGTCCAAAACGTCGTCATCACCCTCGGCGGCCGGGGCGTCTACTACGTCAACAAGGAGGGCGCCGCCGAGCTCATTCCCGCTGAGAAGGCCAAGGTCGTCGACACCACGGCCGCCGGCGACACCTTTGTTGGCGCCTACTGCGTTGCTGCCGTCGCTGCGCAGGCCAAGGGCGAGACCTTTGACATTGCTCAAAGCATCCGCAGGGCCAACCACGCGGCGGCCAAGACCGTCGAGCGTAAGGGTGCCCAGACCTCTATTCCTTGGAGGGATGAGCTTCAGCAGTAGATGGTTGTCAACTCGTAAAAGCAAAATACCCCTAAAACACCAAAAAGTTAACCAAAGAAAAAAAGTTGAAAGGCTACTACACGGACTGTAAATGCGTTCAAAGTGTGCCCACCCTGAGACCTTGTCAAAGGTAGATTCTACAACTTCGCCCCCGCCCTTGCTCTGTTGTCAGCTGTACTAGGCTGAGGGTGCTCGTCCTGCCATAAAGTATAACGTAACAGGCCAACCACTTCGTCGCGAGCAGGAGCATAAATCGTAGACGACAAACGTGAAGTCCAGCTGTCAGTAAGAGACGAAACACCGATGTTGAATTACGAAGTGTTTAGAAACGCGATGGACTACTGCGTCTACGTAAAACTCCAAAGAAAAGCAAACAATCCATACTCCTACCACCAACTGGTCCAACCCCAACGGCTGGTTTGCTTGCCGCGCTGCCCACGGTATGAGCCTCTCTGGCTCCTGCTCTCAGCTGCTTGGCCGTCCGCAGTAACATCGTCAGAAGCCCCCAAGGTCCTGAGCAATCCGGCCCCCATGGAGCGCGGACTTCTCAGTATTCCCGGAGACTTGACATCCCTGTCATCGGAGGCCGAATCTTCGGGGCACGTTGCATTTGACGGGACGCGCTGTCCATCTTCCGCGCGGCTCCTCCGCCAACCTGCCACCGACGGCCGCCGGAGCTCAGACCACCCGGTGCGGGCTGCTTCCGGCTGCCTTACCGTGCCATCCTTCCCGAGACTTGATTCCCTTCTGGGCACGGTTGGTGGTGTTTGCATGGATGTAGGCGAAGTATACTCCGTTCTGGGCTTGGGCTGAGATTTGGGCGGCACATCAGGGGGGGGCCGCTGCCGAACAATCCGCTCTATAACCTCTCTTCCCTTCTTGGTACCCTACGGCCAGTGCTGGTGGATGATGCCAAAGAGTGGATTTGGTGCAAGCATTGCACACGGAGACCAAAGTGATCTGTGGTTGAGGTGCTGCAGTGCGGCTGTGGCCGATGTCTCCAGCTTGGTCTCCACATCGGCAACGCCGTCAACCGTGTCAGACCTGCCGCATTTGGGGAATGCTGAGTGCTTGTATTTAACCACGATGCGGAGATACTCTACCTTCGAGCTCCCAAGCTGATCTTCAAGGTCATCAATCAACTCGTCTGACCGTTGCCGGATATGACCGTTAGGCCCCTTAGCTTCGAAGTGAACGTGCGCAAGCACAAGAACCTTCAATCCCGGAAATAACATGCTGCAATCTCGTTAGCCCTTGTCAATAAGCTTAGTTCGAAACTTTACCTGGGGGTCGGTTCGTCTTCCTGGATGATCTCAAGGATACAATTATTTCCTAGAGGGATGAGTTGGATATCCATATCGTATATGCAGCCGTATCGATCTGAGCCAAAATTAGCACCACACGGGCATCTTCCGAAGCCTCAACGTACCTCCAAGCTGACGGGGTTCGGTTCCAGGAACCAGGAAACCATTGTTGGAGACGGGGATCACTGGGAGAAACGTGCCATCGGGCGGCTGGCAGAGCTCTGCCGAAACTTCGACAGCAATCCACATAGCCCCCCTATCGCCTTCCATAGCTCTGACTGCGGGCGTCACTACAATCCGCGGTACAAGGACTGCTGGATCTCCCGTTGGCATTTGGGTACTAAACGGATCAGAAAATGCAGGACCGCAAGATGAAAGCGGTGCGATTTGGTCATTGCCATCGTAAGACGCACGAATAGTATCATCTCCAATCTCGTCGTCAGTATCGGGAAATACTATGCTTCGTTAGCGGGCCTATGCCTTTGCAGCTGATACAACTCACTCTTTGATGCTGGGAGAGGAGGACGGTGAGTACGGCTCGGCTTGAAACCAAGCTGTCCAGGTGTTTCTCTGCCATTTTGCATGCCTCTCTTCTTCATGACCACCAAAGGCGTGTCAGGGCCTTCGGGAGTGCTGCTACGGCTCTCGTCCGAGTCGCTCACGCCCCTCACACTCCCTGTTCTTCCGACTTCTCCAGCATGACGCCCGAATCTCTTGAGCACTCGGAGCGGTTGAGGCGTTGCGGTGCCATCCGGTCTATTCTCGTCGGCGAAAAGCTCCATACCAGGCGGCTGTCTCTCGGCGGGTGCCAAGCTTGCGATGGCGATTGGACGACGTCTGCGAAGTCGACGAGCTCGGTGCCAGGGTCCAATGGCGGCGTGTCGTTGTGTCCTCGAGTGCTTTCAAGGTCAGGCCAGGAGTCCGTAAGAAACCGCGAGCCAGAGCTCAGGCTGCTACTGTTGTTGCTGGAGCTGTCGTCACGGGCACGTCTCAGACCGAACTAGCGTCGAGGATTGGGCTCGCGGAGGCCGGCCGCGTCTCTGAAGTTGCGACAGATGAAGCGCGAGAGCAGAGCAATCAGGATCAGTGGAAGCGATACAGTTGCGAGAACAATCAGTACGACAAAGGCTATTGGTGATAGGCCCATAGTCGAGATGAGATACTGACGCACAATGGCTGGCGTTTGAAGATTGTTATTATTGAGGTTCTCGATGTTATGGGTGTTGCATGTGGTAGTGGAAAGATGTCTCGCGATTGCGTTCAAGCAACAGCAGAGGGAAGGTGTAGAAAAGGTCATCTAGCGCAGGATTTTCATGAGACAAAAGGTGGAAGTCGCTATCATAAACCATGGAATCATTCGCCAGCAGGCACGCTCTGCATGCTATTTCGTTCTTCGGGAGTCGCGGCGCCGCTCCCCAGCGTCCGCTGCAGGTTCTCCCGGACAGAATCCACCTCGCCTTCCTCCATTGCGAGAAAGTTGATCTGCGCCTAGTTAGCAATTGCTTTATCATTTTCCAGGTGAAGAAGACTCGCCAAATCGTCACCGCCGCTGGCCGCCCCGTACAGCACCGCCTCCGAAAGGGACGCCGCGATGCCCTTCTGCACTCTGTCCTCCCAGACTCCTTCCCAGTTCCACTCTCCAGGGTGCCGCGGGGTAGGCACAACGCCCGACACTGGCTTCCGCTTGATAGCGTTCGCAACGGGTGTCGCCGGCGCAGCAGGCTCGGCCTCGGGGACTAGCTGTTCAGCCTTGCCTTGGCCATGAGCCGCGGCCGTCTCTCCCTCGGCGTTCTCTCCCTCGGCCTTCTCCTCTTCGGTTTCCCCTTCCTGCCCCTCCACTGGCCGCTTTGCAGAGTCTCCAGTGACATTGCCCGCCTGGCGCTGACGCGTCCGCCATGCGTGCCAAGCGCCCGGGTTGCCAGCAGCCTCTAGCGGCACCGAATCGAGCACACTGTCATCATCGAACGTGCTCCTGATATATCTCAAAACCTCGTACGTTGAAACCTCCCGTCGCGAGGTATCGAGATATCCCGGACGCCCTCCAATCGGCGTAGCTTTGGAGCTCGGCGTCGTCGCTGCACTGCTTGATGTGCCGCCTCTCGCCGGCGTTGCCGGGGGCTGCTGCTGGCCGCTGACCTGCCTACTGCCCGCCACACTTCGGCTTCCTCTCCCAAACCAGGCTGGGAATCCGTGGCGTAGGCTGAAGCCGCCGGGAGGCAGTCGTTCTGCGTCAGTTGCGCTCACTGTGCCGTTGTCCTGGATATCCGTGGTGTACATGTAGGTCGTTAATGGTGTGATCAACGGGTGGAACATGTCTGTCGAGAAGGTCACGAGTGGCGGCAGCCGCGGGTATGTGTCGGGAAAAGATATTTGGAATCTGAGTATTGCCGTAGCATAGGGTCCTGTATGATGGTCTCAGCATGCTGCCTCATTCTGATCTCATCATGAGTTTCCAGTACCATGCCTCACAAACATGACGCCCGACCACAGCATCGGGTCTCCCGGCGTCAAGCTCACAAATACGCCCTCCGGACAGGCCTGCTTGAGACCGGCACTGTGAGAAAGCGTTAGCAGCCGCATTTGTGTCTGAGCCCCTCTCCCCCGGTTTCAGGGGGCTTGGGCGTGGGTTGAGACTTGGAAGAACCTCACAATTCGGCCAGGAGATGCTGCCGCCTCAGCGACGGCATGCTGCCCATTCTTAGACTCGCCATTTTGAGGTTTGATGAGACATTCGTAAAAAAGCCTCTTTTCTGATGAGACGAAATATGCCTATAATGATGTAGTTAGGATTATGAGACGGCTGTCGATGGACTTGTTCATGCACAGCTGAGGGCGGTCAAGAAAGGCGGTGTAACGTTCTGCCGCCATTATTCTTTATCGCGAAAGAGAGCTTCAAGAGTGCTATCTTATCAGGAAGGCGGGCAGCATAGTGACTACCCCACCTCACCTACGTAAGGCAAAGCTACCCCGCCAAAAATTGTAGCGATGTCGGTCCCGCGTTGGTGATGACACTGTGATGGCCGTTCAGGCAGGAGAAAACAAGGAGACAACGTGGCAGACGGATGACGGCGTGGCAGGCTGTCTCTTTGACCATTGGCAGCAGTTGTTCACCAGAGACGTAACATGCCATGTACCACAGCGAGGGATCTCATTCGCACAATCGTGATGGAGGGGCAAATTTGGCCTCATGATCAGATGCATATTCGAGTAATCATGTCATTTTATCGTAGGTGGGTGACCGATGCTAGTCGAGTCCCAGCCTTATCACCTCTGTGCTATATCTACTAGGTATGTGTATCTCCTTGGTCTGGTGGAGGACTACCATAGGTACGGAAGGCGAGAGTGACGAGAGAGTCTACTTGGAACCAAGCCTGTTCTCGATCTTGCTCTTCTCATTGGCCTTCAGCTGCGCCAATTCCTCCTTGCTGGAGTCGAAGCGGGCGTTGACCTGGTTGAAAGGGTTCTCGGGGCTCTTCTCAAACTCCTTTCGGATCTTGTCCTTCCTCTGCTGCAGACGCAGACCCTTACCCGAGCCGTCCTCGTCCATCTCGGCGAGTCGGCGCTCCTCAAAGGCTGCGTAGGCGGCCTTGAAGCGTCTCTCGGGGTGTCTGTCGACCTTGGCATCGGAGGAGCCTGTGAGCGACAGAGCATCAAGGGCGTTGTCAATACCCGAAGCGTTGAGGGCGGCAAGGGAGCCGCTGGGCTTGTCGTCCAACTGCGACAGGTCGAGTCCGCGGGTCTTCTTGACAGCCGTTTTGGCGTTCTTAGGCGCGGATCGCCCCGGTGTGTTTGCCTCCTCCTCTTTCAGCGCGGCTTCACGCTCAGCCTTCTTGCGGGCTGCCTCGGCCTTTTTGGCGGCTTCCGCCTCTCTGGGATCAAACAGCGTGTCAGCCAATGTCCTGTGCCATGTGTTTCTTTCCTTGTTCTTTGCGGGGTAACAGAGATCCGGCGTGTTTGGGACAGTATGCATGAAGTGTGACGGTCCTGGACGACGGTGTTGGCTGCGGCATTCGGAAGCCGCGTTCGCGCCCGCATACACTTTACTCCCCGTGTGGAGGGTGCGTCAGACACACTCACTTCTTTGCGTTGCTCTTGGAGCCCTTGGACCACTCGGCATCCTCAGCGGCTGCCTTTTTTGCATCCTCGGCAGCAGACTTTTGGGCTGCAGCCTCGGCCTTGCGGGCGTTTCCCGCGGCCTTCTTGCTGTTCTCGCCGGCTCCCTTCTTGCCAGCCATGACTGTGGCTGTATGTAGAGTGTGTATCGCGGGTAAGGATACAGCGATGGTGGTGGTAGTGGTGGTGCGATGCGATGCGATGCGATGCGACGCGTTGCTATGCTAGGATGTGTATGGTATGTAGCTTGTGTCCGCGTGCGTAGTTCGTGGCTGGCGCCTGTTGGTGCGTCGAGGCAATCTGGTGTGCGGTGGGCAGTTTGTGCGATCCGGGGAGAAAACAGGGCCGGGTTGGATCCGTTGTTGCCTCCTCCACGGCTGAGGTGTGGTACAATGCGAAATGGAGCAATGTAGGTCGTGACTAGGTTGGGCGGAGCGGAGCTGGCGCGGCGTTGAATCCGGCAAAAAGTAGCTTGTCGTCAGGGATGAGTGAAGTTGGGAGGGAAAAAGAAACCGTCACGAAGGGCCAAACGAGGAGGACAGTGCCAGTCGTCGTCGGTGTTGGTATCGGCGTCTCGGTGTCGGAGGAGCGATGTAACTTGGGTACCTTACGGTACCTACCTAGGTAGGCACTGTACGATAGGCGGTGCAGCCCAGCGGAAGGCGGCCTTACCTTTCAGTGGCTTGCCTGCTGCCGTGCTCTGTGATCTGAGAAGCTTGCCCCCGCTAAGATGGGCAAGCAGATTCCGATAACTCGGCAGCAGCCAACGCAGCTTCCATTGCTTCCATCGAGTGTCACAAGCCAAAACATGGCTACGTTCAGCTGGGCCTGGCTATGGCGCAAATTTCAATAGGTTTACCGTTAGCCATACAGTCAACAGCACATGGATCTTGTAGGTCATTCCGAGCTGGAGGTTGCAACCGAGCTACAGTGCCGGTGTTTGCGCGACACACCGTACGGGCGACAGTGGACCCCGAGGGCGAGGGACGGGACGGGATGGGAAGGGAAGGGAATGAGACCTAATTAACGGATAACACCACGACCTTAACCCAGCTAATGGAAGCCAGCAGTGATCTGTGGATACCTACGGTACGGGAGGTAGGTCTGTGTGAGCAACAACGTGCGTCACTCTTCCTCCACAAGGCCGCACAGTGACATTGTAGCTCCGAGACCCATCCCGTGCTTCACTTCCCAAGCCATGGGCGGCTCCATGTTTTGTGCTTCCGCCGATATCGAAAGACAACCAAAGCACGACATTCGATAGCTCCAGGCGGTTTGCCTGGCGCAGCAGCTACTTAACTAGCAAGCAAGCAAAGCCTTGAGCACGACCTGAAGGGTTGGGGTAGGCCAACATGATGGCATTGGATGACGGGAGCCACTAAGCCGGCCCCCCGCGACTCGGAATGCTCTTCCGCCGCTATGCCATTGGAACGGCGCCATTGCATCCTCCTTCCGCAGCCCCCGAGGTTGCCCGGCCGGACAGCCCAGCCCACCGCAGATCTGGCCCTTGTTTTCTCGGTGCCGTCTTCGTCCATCCTGTCACTCCCCGACTACACTCGACCCATACATACCTGAGATCAATATCACCATCTCATGTCGTGGCCGCCATCATGTCGATGCAAGTCTTGCCTGCGCCGCCCTCCTGAGGCTGCCGTCGTACAACATGTACCCTCGACTTGATCGCAATGTACCGCTCCATCCCCCATGCCTTTGCTTCACCGAGTCGACCTGTCAGCCACTCAGGGGAGCCCTCGGTCAGGACCTCCTGCAGCACCCTGCCCTATTCAGGACCAAGGCCATCCGTCGTAGGCCCGCCCGCTTGCCCACGCCATGCAGCTAGCTGCTTGAAGGGGGCATTCGCATCTCGCTGGCATTCATGCGCCGTCAGGTCTGACAGGCCCCCATTCATGACATGGCAGAAGTGCTGCCTTCGTCCGCAGCACGCCTCGTTTTTTCCAACATTTCCATCATCTTCACGGTCATCGGACCGCGCTCTGGAAGCTTAGCCTCTGCCAGTTCATCATCCACTGCCACTCCCGTCCCAGTGCATCTCCCCGGCCACCCTCTAGATGGGAAATTCTCTCCTTCTGTGACACAAGGTGCCACCCACATGGCCCTTCCGGCCCTATAACATACGTCCATCTAACCGAGCGCTGGTGATGATCTCCGACTCGCTTCAACCTCGTTGCTGCCCAACCAATGTCCATCGCAGTTACAAGCCGCTCGCGCTGCGCGGGTCGTGATCAAATGCCACGCATATCTCCGGCTTTCCCGTTTCAACAACACCCGTTGGCCACGTTTGCCGAGGATTGCCGAAACCGTCTTTGAGGCCATCTTGGCCGGCATGTTGGCCAAGTGCTCCGGTCATTCGGCTTGTGCCAGATACGGCATTCATAGAGGCTGACAGCCTCGGTGATATCACATCGCATTTCGCATCGCAACACCACAATCACCCCTCGCCGGCCCTGTATACACGTCAGTCGACCTGACGTGTCCATTGCCGTTTACTGTCTCAATGGATCCTAGGCAGCAAGGCTTAGCCAGCGCTCGTTCCATGGCTTCGAGGACTTCGCGGGCAAGGGGGACTTCTGGGCGCAATACTCACATGCCCCCCGATCGAACGGAAAAAGGGCAAAGGCAATCAACCCCAGTATCAATTACTTCTTGGAACGGCTCGCTAAGGTGGTCTAGGCCGATGACAGCCACCCATTTCTGAGGCCGATTGCCATTTGTGGTATTATGCATCAAAAAATAACATGCCTTGTTAAGTTGCGACCCGGGTTGTCTAAATTGCTGTCAGCCTTGGGTCCCGGGCAACTCGGATGACTGAAGCATCGCCCCAAATTGAAGCAGCGGTGAAAGCGTGTAATGAGTGGCTTATGACGAGTTCCCGAGGACCCATGGAAACTCCGTATCAAACATTGGCTATGGTCCCAGCTTCTCCATGTGATGCTACTCCTTGATGATGAGGTCCGGACACCCCGGGACACTTGTCGCTTGAGAGATGATTTACTGGATGTGGTTGCTCTTGAAGCTCTTTTCGATGCTAAAAGATGTCGAAAGTGAAGAAGGCTGCCAAGAAATGAGGAAGAAAACCGGCCAACAGAACAAAGTCCCCTCCAGCAAGGGCCCAGGGTTGATGCACCGCAAGTGGCAGCCCCAAGTGGCAGCCCCCGAGGCTGTGTAACATAGCGATGCCTGCAGAAAGTATGACAGCCTTGAAGAATGCCAGTTGGGAGGATTTGCCAGGCCCAAGACGCGCGCAGACTGCCAATACTCCAGGGCCTTGATGAGACAAATCGAGACCGCAGACTCGCAGCTGACCAATAAACCAGGATGTGATACTTGCTTGTTTCCTTTCTAGCAACATTCCATGCCACCCTGGCAACTCTCGGTTTACGCAGCCAGAGACACAGGGGCCTTTATTGCAGGCGGTGAGAGATCTACGAGGCTGCAACATGGTGGTAAGTGACCTGTCACAATGACGATTACGGGGAAACTCACATGGGGCCGCAGACAACAGACATGGAGTTCAAGCTTTAAGGCTCCTAGCGATATTGAGGTGGAGAACCACCCCTTACAGGGACGAAGCACATGGGAACAGCAGACCAAGTCGGTGAGGCGGCCTTGACCGAAGGTGAAGCTGTCCAATAGAGCTGCTTGCCAGTTCCTTCAGTTTGTCGCCTGCCAAGGTGTGTTCTCACGCTCAAGACCAGGACTCTGACAGGACCAATTACCAGTTTGCAAAAAGAAAGCAACTCACCAACCATGATCGAACAAGGTAACAATAACGCCAGTGGAGACGATCCCTGTACGACTTTGGGAGCCGCTGTTGGTATGTACAATACGAGCTGACAACTTTGAATGTTAGTATCAGAAGCATTGCCACGTTCCGCGTGAAATGGGCTCGTTCGCTCCCGGTATTTTGACCTCCATGATGTGTACTTCAGATGAAGCCCCCTCCCTCGAGGAAATATCCGTAATTGGGGAGGACGCAGATTCGGGGCGGCCCTACACGTGCCGTCAGAAGACGAACCCATGCCCAGAGAATGGCAGGGTATGTTACTAGACCTGCCGGCGAGCATTTCCGGACAGCCACCCTTGCACTCCACGGTTGTGCTAGGGTCGTACCCTCGCAAGCATAAGTCCAGTCCTTGCAAACGCTGTGTGTACGGATCACGAGGTCCAAGTATACAGCACCTAAACGAAGACTGTCATACGGCGTCAGTCAATCAGGCGGTATTGCTGATTTTGCCCCCTAGGACGACTTGTAGAAGACCGCCTGAACCACTGCAGTAACATTGCCTTAACTTAATTGAAAATTACGGCGACGGAGACTCGTATGCAATAACAAAAACATGGGAATGGGGCTATAATAGTCAGCTGCGACATGCATATATACTGATGTGTACTGTGGAGCGCTTAAAAGAGGTATGAGGTTCAAAAATGACGTGTAAAAACAACAAAAAGATATCGCAAAGCAGCACAAGTGGGATCTAACCACTATTTCTCCCCGAGGTGGGCTCGAACCACCAACCTCCAGATTAACAGTCTGACGCGCTAGCCAATTGTGCCATCGGGGATACTCAGTCTGAGTTGTTGTGTGCCGGCGGACTTGGCCTTGCTTGGAACCCGCTCCCGCTTGCAGGGTATATGGAGAGTAGGATCTCTTCCCGGGCTTCCGAGGTCGCGCGAGCCAGGGCTCCGGCGGCCGGGAAATGGAGAACTTGTTATGACAACACTGCGCGATTGGCTGTTCAGATGAAGCGAGCGGATACCACGATCCCTTGCCGTAGAAAGCTGCAAGCCTTCTGCTTTCATTAGCAATAATTTGCTTTTGGAGGTTCATGAGCCTAGGGTCCAATACTGTTAAACGGAAATCAGAAGAATTGAACACCTGCATTCGTACCCTGGCTGTGGAGAAATAGTCTTGTTCAGCTGTCGTGTGCCTGTGAAACTGATCTCTTGATTAGAGACCGTCAGTCCAGGCTCTCGCCTGTCCAAGCCCATCGAGCAAAGTGGGTAAACAACTGAGACTTGGCATGACTTTGCAGAGCGGTTCCCAACGCGGGTGAAGCTTGCGAAAACCGAGTCAATAAGCCTCTTTGAGAAACGACCAGTC